CTCCAGGTCAACAGATGTTTTCGCTTGTGCTTAAACTTAGTGTTTGCTAGAAATAGGCAGTTATCTGAGCATAGATGCAGTAGGTCGTCTCCATTATTTGATCTTTGAGACAATGCACCGTAAGATCCTCCCAGGTGTCTTTCTTATTAACTTAGTCTACCTACTTGAGCATTGAATTCACCAGTTATTATTACAATATCAGAGCGCCTAAGTTTTCAAAGAAGGTTAGAGAGGTCTCTATGAAACTCATCTTTTATCACGTCAGAACTGCAGTTGGTGGGTGAGTAGGCAGAGACAACAAAGAACCAATGGCGACTTTACGAGATCGTACCGTCCCGTTTAGCCGGACAGCGTATAAGCGACTGTCTACCGCGATCCAGTAAAAGAGAGCCAGTTCCGACCTAGGGCTTAATAATATACCTACACCAGCGAGCCCACGGGAAACTGCAGCAGGGTTTCCAGATACACGAAGAGAAAACCGAGCTGCTTCTTTATTTTGATATGGTGAGGTCAAATGACGCAACTCGGATCCTGTATGTGCGTTTCCGGGACGCAACATACATCGATGACACGAGATTTTGAAGTCCTTTCTAACAATAATTGTTGTCATATTTCAAAAAATGTCCAGACATTTAAAGCTCCAACATGTAGTTCGACGCGGGGTTTCAGGAGGCCAGAATTAACGTTTCGTGAACTCCAATCATTTGTATTAGCGGTGCAGGGTATGATAAACGAATGTGAGAAGGATGAGTCGAGGAGACAGGAGAGATGTTAGGAGTTGTAGTAAGGATTTGATTGTGACCGATTTGGTCTGGTGTGCTGTTACGGGTATGAGGGTAGATATCACTCCCCAGCTGCCCACACCGTGGATGTTTCTTGAGGAACCTGAAAAGGAAGATAGATAAGCGTTGGTCTTAGAGGCCTGGGAGAGTGATCGCAGAGCCCAAAGGAACAACTTCTTGAGGCTGTTCACGCACGGCTTATTTATGGAAGGTTTTAAATTAGTTAGCTCTGCTCTTGTTTAAAAGGGTTTACCGCCGGAGACGAAAATCGGCAAGGTAAGCTGAGGTGTGACACTTTTATGGTCGATCTTTTCTAACCCAACTCTTCATTGTAAGAAGGTAGCGTCGCTGCATATGCTGGTTGTCCGAGGGAAACATCTTACTGCTGTCATGCTCTACAGACAGCAGTACGGCTTCGTCCGCAGACCTAGACTTGCTGCTTTCAGTTTTACTGTTGTTCTCCAATCGACATAACCTGCATGGTAGAACCTACAGGAACATAAGTTGCAGCCAATATAGCTCGGTCGGGTCATTACAATAGGCAGGCCCGACCATCACGTCGAGATAGAAGCTACGGTCGAGCAAAAATTTAACTGATAAATTACAGCAAAAATATCTAAAAGCATAAAACTAATTGTTATTCGATGGTTAAAAATTCTTCTGGTTTTCATTTGTTTATTCGACTGGCTTGTATAGTTATCTTGAAATGATGTTTTTCAATTACGTTGATAAACAAGGCATAAAAATTAATACCATAAGAATTCGTATTCGATGAGCAAATGGCAATGAAGAGCAGTCAGTTGCAATCCCTAACATCAACAGCGGAATAGTACAAATTTTTTAACAAGAAACACGTGCACTTTCCATCAGTTTGATGGTTTTTCCAAGGAATAAAAATATTTTCTTGATAAAGGCCGTGAAGTTTTATCTATTTCAAAAAGCATGACAGAATAAACCAAGAGTAGTTAAATGAAGTCAATTCTTTCAGATGAATAAATATATATGCTATATACAATGTGATTGTATAAAAACTAAAATAACTAACCATCGCATTGGAAATATTCTCTGTATTTGAATTATCACTTAAACGTATTAAAGAAACAATTATTCGAAGTTGGCGAATTCACTAAACACAAGTTTCAAATCACTCACAGGTCGATGATTGACCGAACCTTAGCAAAGGATAAAAAGTGTTGATTTTGCATTTACTCAATGGCATTGTTTAGGGTGACAAAAATTTATTCAAATACTTATTATGAGACAAGTTATTGTGCAAATCTTTACTAACTCTCAATTAAAAAATCCAATACTATAAGTAAACACTGAATAGTGGTTATAGTTGCTTGATTATGATCAAAAATAAATTATTTCTTAGGTGTGCTGAAATCCCTAAGAGAATAAAGTCGATATTCAAGAAAGGTTTGTACAAAATTGTATGATTATCAATCTGCACTGATTTAAATAGCTAGACTAATAATGATTTATTCTCGGAAATGGTGAGTCAAGAATAAAACTGTGGTACAAGAAGATAATCAATATGCATCTTTACTTATTTTCGCCAGTTGTATCAAACAGTGTACACTTACTAACTGAGACATGAATCGGAGTATAGAACATGGTTCAAAAACAGCAGACCATAGTAGTTGTTTACTAACACTTTAAGTACTTGAAAATTTGTAACGATCTAAAAACAATCCCTTGCAGTTTATCTGTGTTAACCCAACCAACTTACCCGTTGTTTCTGGTTTTACCATAGCAGTTCATTACATTTCAGCAGGGGTGTTATTCGTGTCAATATGAAGACCTGCGGAAACGTTTGCTTCACCTATATTGCATGGAGTATTTTATCGACAGAATATCATAAATTAAACAATATGTAATTGTATTCGTCTGCGTTATTTATCAAAACATATACTAACTAATATTGAGAGATGGAAGAATTCATACTTAGTCGACAGTTGTTTTGAAAAAATGCATCAAAACTTATAAATAATGCTACTCTGAATGTTACACATAAAAAAGAATATGCTACTTACTTAGTAGATAGATAAATGTTCAAATAGTTTGAATACATGATATGTATTGTTGAATAAAAATGACAAAAAGGTTTTGGATCATATATATATATATATATATATATATATATATATATATATATATATATATATATATATATAATACATTAGATACAAAGAAAATAGTCACTGTATATTCAGAAGATTAACCAGAAATGTTTCAACATAAATTTTAACTGAACTTGTATAATTCAACATTTCGATTAACAAACTACGCATGGAAAGACACATTAACCGTGCATCAAAAAATGACAGGACAAAAGTAATGGTATATTTGTGCGCTTACACACAAATAACATGTATTAAAAAAAATAACTACCAGTTAATATTCTTTTATCACGAAAATGAAAAAAACATAAATTTTACTTAACCGAAAGGTATGGCATAATTGTTTTTTTCCTTTTAACATGACCAGATAAAATATTTTGTAGAAATAATAAAATTTAGTAAGAGGTTTTATAGATTTGAATCTGGTCGATTTTCACAGTAAAATTCAGTCATTTAGTCAGTCAGTTGCAACGTAGAACTTCGTACGTATGTACATAAGTTCATGTTGACATACCACATTAGCACAGAGACGCAAATGTCAAAATTCAGTGAAGAATTATGTAATATACACATGGCAATCATGAAATATAATAATGACAGTAGAACCATTTCGTAATGATCACTTTAAGAGTTGTATGAAACATCCTTCATGAGTACCTAAGGAATCAAAGAGAATGCTTAATTATTTTCATCCTTATTTTTAATATAAGTCTCTGCATGAAACTTCAACACTTTGAATGAAGTGTATTATTTGACAAACTGTACCGGGAATAAAACTTTTGAAGTAGAAATCGAATTTTCGTAACAGATAGGTTAACAAACAGCAAATTTTTGAGCATTAACAAAATCGAAATTGTTGAATAGTTAAAACTCTCAAAGAACTAACCAGCTAGCTAATCTCAAAACAACTGTAATAATTACTACAGTTGGTAAATGATAATGTATACAAATAATGGGCGCTAGATAATGATCATTTATACATAAAACATTTAAATCTAGACACTGATGGGAATCTCTTAACAAATGTACGATTATATAGATAGATAAACATATAATTGTAGGATATTTATCCATCCATATCTAGTTGAATGGTTGACTACCATACACCACTAGCTCTATAAATAAAACGAAACTTAGATATTGAAGTCTGGTAACTCAATCGACAGAGTATAGTATTAACAACTGTTGAACAAGCTGTTTCAAGTGTTCTTCTATTAGAATTCTCTTATTGTTATCCTTGAGAACGTTTTGAAATGATTAAAACCCATTAGGCGACAGTACTAAGTCAAGAGTGATATAGTAGAGGTTTATGTGCTTTTAGATTTTTGTACACTAAAATGTTCCACTATTTTTCTTCACTGAGGAAATAACACGACAGAATAATTGAAGTTTTTTAACAGGACACAAACAACACCATTTGTTTAATGTGCTTTAAACATGTTACGTTTCTAAATGAGTAGCAATCCAAGTCCAGAAACTATTGAATAAAACCATACAAATTTTAGAGAAGCATATGAACATCAATCATTTCAGAATTTATATAATATACTTAATCAGTTGTTTGGAAACGATAAACTCACGATACTTTCGAGTTATGAGAATAGTTTATGAGGATAACTGTTCCAATTAGGAAGAAGAATACTGATTCAAGGATATTTTTGGCTACAAATCGAGTTTAGCTGATAAATTACTCAGACACTCACATAACACTAGAATGGAAATTGTTGCAAGTGTGAAAGACTGAGTTTTGAACAACTAGATCACAAATAAAGTTCTCAAATTAAGTTATAAAGCTTATGAGTTCTAAATATCGTGTGTTCGGTTTGCGAGGTGATCCAAACTAGGCCTGAAAAAAACAGCTTAGTTTGCTAAGTTTTTTTTTAGCTGATTGCTGGATGATATCAATTCACAATGAGAACAACATGTATACACTGATGAATAACATCAATCAGCTTATTCTGTTATTAAGCTATTAGTAAACATACAACCATAAAGATATTTTAGGCTTACTATTAAAACAAGTTAGCAGTGAACAGAAACGCTTTGGGCGCTCTTAATTATTATTTAAACGATATATATATATATATAAACTTACTTTTCTTCAGATAAATTTGGGTTTTCCTTCCTAAGTGTCGACAAATAGGTTGACCAGCGTGTACTACAAATTTCCTGCAACAAATTAATAGACAAAATCAGTAACAGAGATTACAAATGATGATATTCATGCGGCTCGTATTTCAATTTGAAAATTAGAGTTAAATGTGCTCAATTTAAAACTATGAAAGATAAAAAAAAGTAACAAACAATTAATGTTTAATAAGATTGTTACATGAGAAAATAATTAAATTGTACACTAAGTGTAAAACTGAGCTTCAACAAACATTACAAGATCTTCCGGTCCAAATATTTGCTTTGATAGACAGTTTGTGATGGTGCAAATTTCAAAACGAAACAGTAGTGTTAAGCCTTTTGTCATGTACCACGTTCTTTAATCAACGTTATGTGAGAATTTAGTTGTGTGAAGATCGACAAAATTACTTTCATCGCTCTACACCAAAGTAAGAGGAGTAGAGGTCCAAGCTAGTACCAACAAGCTGAAAATCAGATAACAACTTTAACCATTGCAAGTGATATTCTGTCTTGGAACTAGTTATCCTCTCCTTTGATTTATACTTAAGCTGAGAAACTATTCGATGTCCAGCAGCATATTATTGAAGGCGAATCAATGATGAAGTGGAATAAAGTAATTGTATTGATGTATTTTTTTTTACTGATATGCATTAGAACTGAGATGATATATGTTGAAGTGTTTCTTATGGCTACGTAGGTTGAAAGCATGCTAAATTGACTTTCCAAAGGCTTTCAAGTTTTATTTAAACCCATGACCCTTGAATCATGTACTAAACTAAAGGTGGAAATAGCAATACCGTAAGTTTATATACATAATTGGTTCAGTTACTGTAATGATGAGATATTTTTATGATTTTCGGTGCTTTCGTTGACACAAGAAAGATTTTAGATCTGCACGCGAGACCGACGGTCCGGAGTTTGATTTCCACTTGAGGGGTAGTGGATGCGGACTGCTGATGAGTCTCATCCCAAAAAGAGGAAATGTAATAATTTCTTACGATTAGACGGGAACTCATAACAGCCTTATTTCTATTACAAGTGAGCTTACAGAATCAAAGAAAATATAAGGTATGTACTTTCGTTAAGCAAGTGAAAGATTATGTTATATCTTAATGGATGATGAAATAAAGAAACGTAATAATTTATGCATATAGAATCATTGATGCAAATACTCTTACATATCAAGACTTCGATGGGTTACAATAGAATTAACAGAAAGTTATTATATATTACTATACAATCCATTCACGGCACATTATCAAGATTCTCGAAGAGAAATATGTATATTTAGAGAAAATATTTTTATCAATCTGTAGTTGACTGACAGAACACAAGATAATCAATCGTTTTACCATAGTTTAAGGCTATTCAGTAGTAGATATTTACGACCTCAAATAAGGGCCAAAAGATTAGCTTCAGATGTATTTTATGCCTACAAACTAATTACAGTCGAAAATTTAACAACATTTATTGGTGCAATTATTGATAAACAATTATTATTATTATTATTTTTCATTTTATCCAATGATAATTTACTTGACGTTGATAATAGCCAGATAAACAAAATGATCATAAAGATTTCTACTAACGATAATCAGATTATTATTATTATAGAAATTAAGAATAACCAGTGTCTATTCTTATCAGAATGGTCAATCAGTCGTTTTATTTATATGAGTGTAGAAATAGGAAGATCATTATAGATAACAGTATTCAGACTGAACAAGAATAGCAAATGTATCTTTGTCTACAGCTAATATATATATATATATATATATATATATATATATAACAGTCTGTTAAATATTGTTGAATTAATAACTAGTCAGCTTGGTAGGTAGAATGTGAAAGTTTCAACTGATCACCAGTTTTAGACAGTAATTTTTTTACATTATTCACATATGAATTAGAATATACAAGAATGATATTATATCTCTACATCATTTATGCCAATAAAAACAGACAATACTCTGGTAACATGTTGTTTTTAGTCAATTAGAGATATTCCAAGTTAATTATTAATACGATTGTCAAATATATTAAACTTACAAAATGTAAATGGACTATTTCAACCGGTTTCACATGGATTATATGAGGAAATTCGTAATGAAACTAATTTCTGTCAGTAATAGGTAGATATTTTTATTTACGTGAAACAAGAAAAATTTGCGCAATTTTATCGCGTAATTAGCAACTTGAAACTTTTCGAAACGCACAAAGGTTATAATAATGTTCAGAAAAGTGTATCATAACTTTAATGATGGAGAAAACTTTCAAAATGTAGCTCCATTTGGAAATGGAAATGGATAACTGATTCTACGAATTTTGTAATTCAGTGCAAGCTAATTACATTGATATAGGTAACTGGTCTGAGTAGTAGAAAAACGGGAAACTACCACGTCAGATAGCTGTTAAAATCTTTACAAAAGTATATGTAGCTTATCAGTGACATTCGAAGCATGGCAAAAAGAGATTTTGAAACTACAATTCACACTGTCAGGAAGGCGTAGGTCGTAGCGAGAAGTAAGGGAGTTGATGTGCATAGTAATACTGCATGACGAAAATCAGAGATTCAAACTAGTGAGTTTAAAAATGTGACATCAATAACATTACTGGGATATTCTTGATTATGAAAATTGCAAAGAAAACAACACAAGAACTGTAGATGTCAAACATAATATCAGATTAAGATATATATATATATATATATATATATAAAGCAATATCAATAATTATAGATCAGGTGATAGTTGATTATCTCAATCAAAACATTGTATTGATCGGAGAAATCACTAGCAGGTGTGGGATATTCAGATGAATTCTATTGAAATGATAGACAGTAGTGAGTCAGAAAACTAAATGCAATTACTTAAAAATGTTTTTTTTTTAATGGTATTGATACATTCATTTTCAGTTTCTGTCTATAAATCTTCATATATTTTTTATAACAGTAGTTATGTTATTCTTGACTAGTTTTTGAATTGGTTTTAACGGTATTTTGATTTCATCGATTTTAAATTTTATTGTGTGATGAAATTGGAAAATTTAAACTAAAATACTTTATTACACACCACTAGATTTTCACGTTTGTCTTCATCTATATAATTTGAACGATAGCAAAAATACGATGTGATATTGAAAAAGTAGAGAGAGCTTATCAAGTGACTAGTTTTTCTTAAATAACCAACGATGATGTAGCGGCTGTCAAGATATAAAAAGTGAATTTCAGAAAGTTAAGTTATTTTTGAACCAACGGAATCGAATTGTGACAATTTAGCACCAATAAATTTGATGAAATTGAGTTATCAATATTTTTTTGTACTAAAGTTTTCATTACCTTTCAAAAATTATTAGTCGAACTATTATATATATTTAAATTTTATATCACGGGCTGTCTGTAATTAGATATCTATTAAGAAACAACAGGTACACAGAGGACGTTCCATCCTATCATGTGACTTCACGTCAGTGGAGACCTAAGGTTCTATCACAGACGCCAATATTTCATTCTCTGAAGAGAGTGCTTAATCTTCCTAACACTCAGTCAAATGCAAATTGGAACATGCCACACATGTACAATGGTTCAAGTTGCCATACCCCGTTAGTACAGAGATTAAATTGTTAAAGCTAATTCTGAAGAAGTGGAGGTAATAAAAATATTAAAGGTAGGAAAATGTTAGATGTTGAAGATACAATTCAAGGAAATATAAATTAGTGAGATGAAATGAATTTCGAGGAATTCAGAAGCTTCGAATCTGGAGGAAGACAAACAATCGATGTACCTGCGACAGTAAAAATGATTTAGAGTCATGTTAGTTTGTTTCGAACCACCTGTTATGATTGAAATGCAGACCTCAATCAGGTAGTTTACTTCTATCTACATGGCTCAATACGATCGTCAATGAATTCCTAGACTGGCATCAAATTATGGCTTAGATGCCCTTGGCTTTATAGCATCCCACTACTACACCAGACAACATCACCCATAGAGCTTCACGGTCATTACGCATACGTAACACATGTTCCAAACGCAGTCTGCGCATATGGGCAATATCACAGCCCAAACGCAAATCTAATAACTTGCGAGACGAATAAATATTTTGTTGTTACTGAGTACTAATGCTTATGAATTCAAAGGAACTATAAAATGCCACCACAGTTGCCAAGTGGATATATTACCTATGCCACAAATAATCAATTAGACAAGAACCAATCGAACTATCTGTATCCGTGTCGAGATTTTGTCAGACACCAAACCATCGAGACTGATGAGACTCCCAAAATTAGTGAAGTGGTCAATACGCCCGACTATTTCACTCATTATTAATAATTCACTCGCTGACGCAGCCAATCCTAAATTAACATTTCCCATTTGGAAAGACAAACATCCGAAAACGTGTTTGCACTATTGTCTATGATGAACAGAAGGCTGCCTTTTGTCAGTGTCTTCACCAAACAGAACTATATCATATGCGAACTTTAAGTTAGGAAGTAAATCTTCTAGTAGAAGATCAACTTATAAAATGTCAAGTGATGAGAATGTTATCTCAAAAAGTATATCAGTGAGAAAGTTAAATAAAAATAAGACGAGTGAATAATCCTGATGCAAAGCACTGGAAGTAATTAATCGCGATAACCGTCTGTCACAAGCTCTCATTCAACCAGAAGTATTCCACTAGAGAGTTTTTACAGGGGGTTTATGTTCTGTCGGGGATATACACTGTCACAGAGTATCACAATCAATAGAGTCGATGTCCGCCCTATGATCAGGTGTAAAATCAACCTCTTTTTTGTGTTTACTGTTTAAAACTCTAGTTTGACATCGAAGTATTACTGAAACTAATACTTTAGGCGTCAAATTAGTTAGGCTGATTCCTCTGTGATTGTTATAAGGAGTTTTATCCATGTTTATAGACTGAGGCAAACGGCAACTAAGACCAGTCAGATAAGATTACGCCATGTTTCCAGACTCTAGCTAAAATTTCAGATAATATAACGAATAAAACCGCATCACTACCGTCAAAAATCTCAGGGCATTCAAAGGTTTACGTTTGTAACTTCAGTTGATGTTACCCGAACAAGAACAAAATAACTGTCCAGCACTAATTGATTTCCAGTAATTGTTGAACAAAAGTCAGCACATGGTGTAAAAAAACTACCATACTTAACAATTTCCGAAACCTCCTACATCATCGAATGGATCATGGTTAAAAAAAATGAATATACGGATTGCCAAACGCACTCGGAAGCATAGAATATTTTTTGGATGAATTAGTTAGAACGTCATTTGATTAACTTATATTTAATAATGTAAAGCAGATGCTAGCAAACAAACCTTCTTTATCAAATATCGCAGTAAATCATTGAAGTACTGTGTTCACACTTATTCATCATTTAGTTACATAAACATTTCCTAAAACACCATAAATTAGTGTAATTTGAACACTATTTGAAAATTTTCAGGTAAAAAATTGACCATGAACTATGAAATTGAAAACATTTTCTAAACTAACCTTGATTTTGTTTAATACTGAAGTATAATTATACTGAACAGGGGGAATCATTTTCAATGATTCTAACGTATAATAAAATTCACTAAGACCATAAAATTCCATTGAATTGAAGTCTGGATCTAATTGCACAATATTATCAATTGCACATGGCAATGGGGAACAACTTTGATTTAAATTAAGTAAAGGTTCTATATTTCGCAAACATTTTTCCACATCACCTGCTCCCTAGAAATTGAATACATTTATACATATTGAAAACAAAAGTTAGGCAAGGTAACAGTTCTCGGAATAATGATAATAATAATGCCTAATCTCTGAAAAAAAGATAATAATCATACGGTCAATGATGATTAGCTTCCAGAAGACTTGCCGAGATTTACAAAGAAGTTATGAGTGGTGAATTTTACTCAAGTTAGGAGTGTCGCTCTTACTCACTAATGATATTGGATGGTTACTGAGTCAAATTACAAATTGTCTGAGGTTAAAAATACGAATCATTGGATTCCAACTCATCATAACTAACACACTTTAAATGGGTGACAGTTGAATCGTATCAGTCTTGCACTAATTATTGTACGCAACAATAGAGATTCATTCAATATGTAGCATCTGTTTGTTACATGTTTCAACTGAATACAAAAGACTGTGCATTTGGTAAAAAGATATTTCGAATCTCAACAGAAATAAGATACCAAGTAAGACGTAGGTTCTATCTGGAATTCATGGCATGTAAATTCAGATATTTTACTTCCTAAATTGGTATCGATAGTAGTACGGAGGAATTGTGATATCTATTTAGGAAATTCTTCATTGGTAACCGCTGAAATTTCTAAAAACAAAGTATGAATCTAAAGTACTATTTCTTGATGCCTTTCTAACGAACATCATAGACCATTTTAAGTTACATACCTCAGTTAAATAAGTAGGTCTTCTAGTGAGGATATTGTATCAAATTACTTAAGAATTTGGGTTAAATTAGACTTAACAAAATGAAGTAAATCATTGAAATTCCTCATTTTTGCTAAATTTAATACATTTCAGGTCATTCAACTTTAGATTCACCTTGTAATAATATTTATCTTGTCTAATCAAAGATTTTAAGAGATATGCACCTGAAATTATCTTATATTGCAAATGTTTTAGCTGTACATAAAGTTAAACCACGGTTCTTGCACAGAAACAATTTCTTTCCCGTTTCGGTATAATTGAAGCTCATGGAGTTTCTCTGTGAAAACCGTATTCATTTGTGTAATAACAAAGTAAAATAACTCAATCATAGATGTATAAATTGAAGTAAATTACTCATTTATATTGCACTTCATCAAATATATAACTATAAACATGGCCCGAATAATCTGGTGTGTGTTTTGTTTTGTTTTAGGAAATGACATCATATATAGTGCTTGTTGTACCTAGACAAGACAGCAGTAGGATAAACATACTGACAGACTGTTGAAATTCTCATGTTATTCTAAAAGCTACTTAAAGTTTATTACTATTTAAATCACTTCGATAATATACAAAGTGATATACTAGGCGACAGGAACTAACGTTGATATCATACGATATGGATAAACTTTGGATTTATCTCGATCTGCATGCTGAAAGCAATCTTTTATTCAACAACAAGAGAGGTTGTATGGTAATTAATGAGCTACTCTGTTATAAAACTTACTGTATATTGAACAGAAAATATTTCATTCGCTGGTTCAGGGTTCTCACGAGAAGCAAGTTTACTCTGTACATCAAAGCCTTGAAGTAAGCAAGGATCCTATTGAGAGTGGGAAGAAAAAGTTTACAAATTATTAAATAGGTTCAACTTTAAGAAAACCAAGAGTGAAATAGAATGGAATACATCTTTCGGGACTAAGCTAAATGCAGTGATGGCGAAGATCAGATAACTCATTACTTATTGTTCATAGATGAAGCAGATCACTCACATACAGATCGTGATCTTTTCAATTGGAATTTCATTACCTGGATCGGATGGTTTGGTCATGAATTTTTCATTATTTTTTTGTGAATAACATTATTAGCGACGTCTGTCTGATAAAATTAATCAGCTCAGAGAATGAAAACTCACCAAAATCATCGACCTGAGCCATTAATTAGAATCCTGTATTTAGTCATCAGAAATTATACTGAAGGTATGTGACATAGATAGATATCAAATTAAGAGTCATTAGCAAATACTTTAGAAGTTGTTACCTAGCTTATGTTAAACAAAAGGATGGTGACAAAATAAACAGACAAATAAAAAAAAATAAATTCTTTGAAAGGAACCAGTTCATTAATAGAATGAATAATTTCTATAGAGACCATTCAACTGTATAACCGGGAGATGAACACTGTTAGTTTGAAATGGAATTTAAATTATATTTCACATGACAGCAGCCGAAATAGGTGGTAGAAGGGTGGCTTTTAAATCTGGTATACGACAGTTAAACGTCAATTGTTTCAACCGGTTTGATAAAACCTTCATACGAGAATTTTGTAACGATTCATCCATTTCATAATTTAGTACTTGGATGGGGCTTCAAAATTGTTTATGTAAAATGCCGGCAGAAACTTAACCCAGAGGCTACAGACCTTTCGTCAGTCCCATTAACAATAATTGGAAGTGTGAATCAACGGATAATAACTCTAATGACAACGCATTTGGTACTAGAAGGTTCTATGTGGGGTCATGGTTGAGCACAACCAATGTAATGCAAACTAGAATAAATAGCTGTCTACCGCTTGTTGGTTTTAAAATTGTCAAAAGTGGAAGTTGGATCGTTATGAAAACTACCCTTAAATGGAACGATTCGCACAAATCTTGCATCAGGTAGTGTTTGCAATAACGAAAACTTGAAACCAATATGTTGAAGATAAAGCACTATGTGAGGTAGGTAATTTTCAAATTTGGTCAGGGTAATGCAAATTAAATTATGTCTAGATTATTGAAGAAATATTATCAACAGGAATACAAAGAATAGAAGAGTAGCATTTTTTTACTGTTAAATACTGAAAATACTAAAAGATAATGCTTCTACATCTGTTGTCATCTCCAGTGTACATGGACAATTTTATGCAAGTTGATTGTATTATATTCAAAAATCTAAACGATTTTTTATCGCTTTTCACTTGCATAACAAACACTGATTTTTTATTTTCATCGAATTCGTAACAGCTGGACGAAAAAAACGAACAGATAAAATAAATAAACAAATGTAATCCGATTTCCGAGTGAATCGATTTTCACGCGTTAACTACTGATCATCTACATTCGTTATATATATATATATATATATATATATATATGTAATTGTATACTCTCACAAATCGGACTAGAAAATAGCTATTCAAACTAATCATTCATTTTATTCATACAAATTCCAAAATATGTAAATACATATAAATATATTTTAAAATGCTTTCAAATTTCATCTGACGACTAATAATGAGCTGTAGACTCCGAAATAATTGTACACAATTAACTGATAGGAATACAATATGATAAACACCACAGGAACAGACACATTCAAGAAGATTAAAGCCAAAAGATATTGACAAAAATGATAAAGTGTGAAAAATAAAACACGAAGTAGAAAGAGAAGAGAATCGGTGGGAAATAAATATTTCTGTGAACCAGAACGGTGTATGAACACGGCTTATTTTTGTCGCCTATACCTACAACAAGGTGTTACATCTAATACATCTTGGTAATTGTGGAAAAGAACGCAGATCATAGCAAGCAATTTATTTGTTGTGTTTCGAGATTTTCTATCATCTAAACAATGTAAACCCCCCTACCTTGAAAACGATTATTTGCTGCTTACGTTCGATCGAAAGCCTCGAGAAAGAATGATGTCATTCCTTACTTGTTGTGTTTCCAATTATCAACAAAAATATACGTATGAGATCAATCTTAACTAAATTTTACAATTTAATTATTTAAGATTTTTGTCTTTCGGCACAGAATTACTTGATTGAAAATCCTATTACTTTTTGTCCTATTCGAATCAAAACCTGAATTTATTTACAATATCAAAAACTCCTTCTTAATCTTATATTTATACTAGGATACGAACAGGTTTAGTATTGACTTCAACACTTGAAATTCTTTAGAAGTCTATTGTTAACTCGGTTAACCATGAGCTTTTACATGAACTTGTTATTGTTCTGTTTCGGAATGAAGATACAACTTGTATATTTAACGCTCATAATGTATCATATGATTACATTTCTTGTCTCCTTAAATAAAACATATTTACTTGTAAGTTATAGGTTGACTTGAAACGTTTGCTAACCAGTATATCTTTAATAATAACCCACGTGCAGTTTTCTGAGAAACAAGGCGATACTTAAAACAGTGGTTCCCTTTGATAAATTTGAACAGAGAAATGAGAAGACATATTTTGTGAGATAGTAACAGTTCGTGCTTTCTCGTCAGTCACATACAAGCAACGTGTTATTCGTGTAAATACAGTTTTGAAGATAAGGTCAAAATGGTTAGTCAAATCCATGGTTCATCAACCTAGCCCGTCATCTCAAGATCGATCAAGAAACCCAGCCTCGTCCATTGCAAAACATCTAATGATGAGTAGTCATCAAATTGACCCAAAATCAGCCTTTAGAGTTGTGACGTGTCATCAAAACCCACACACACTCAAACTACTCGAAGCTATCTTGATTGGTCGGAAAAGTCCAACTTTATGTGTTCAAAAACAACTGTATGTTGACCTTTGTTTACCATGGTTCTAGTGAGTGAATGTCATGCTAAATATGAAATTTTGACCTTATCTTCAAAACTGTATTTACATGAATAACACGATGCTTGTATGTGACTGACGAGAAAGCACGAAATGGTAGTATCTCACAAAATATGTCTTCTCATTTCTCTGTCCAAACAACGTGATAGCCTGTCCATCATTACTACATAGATTAACTCGTTTACTCTATCAACCATTACTTTACAGAATTTTAGATACGACAACAGGCGCCTCTTCTTAATGATGAAGACTTATTTAAAATGAATGAAAACTCTTGAGGTTCAATTTCAACTAAATAAATTTTTCTGCGAAACTAAACAGCCTAACTATTTTGATAGTAATAGTCTTAATTACAAACTACAGAGATGTGAACTTAAATGTCTCACGGAGTAATAGTTTATTTCAATAACGATGAGAATAGGCTTTAAATCCATGACGTTATAATATATTAGATCTAATTATTCATGAAATATAATCAGTACTTAAAGCCAATGCAACATAGTACTTACTTGCTAAAATAACGCTAACCAGATATATGTTGGTTATCACTTGATAATCGATTTATATTGTACATTTTTCCGGAATAGGTAGAACGTGGCTGGTAGTGGAATCCAAGATGCGCGTTTCTTTTTAATTGGGATTCGTCAGCCGGATAAACCGGCATCTCAGAATTAATATTCACTTCGGGAATCGAAACGCGCCTCTTGAATCCCACTGCTAGCCACGTTCTATCTATTCTACAAAAAATTGTGTCATAATTGCTATATCGAGGCAATCCGCATAGGATGCACATATGCCAACCAAGACTCGTCAAATTTCAGTCAGAAAATCAACAACGGGATAATGCAAACCATTTCAAATCGAGTCATAATATACATCGTCTGGAAAAGCAGTTATTAAAGAAACTAAAATATTCAATGAAGAAACAAGTGATTGTAGAATAATGAATGTTAGTGTCATCGAAACAAATTATTTACTAACAATAAAGTGTTTTGCGAATCGATTGAAAATAAATGTTAAATAAATAAGGAAAGTAATTACATTTGGAATATATTGAGTAGGGTAAGCAAGGTACAAATAGACTGTTAAACCATGTAGAAAACTACCACATTTGTTCTACAACAATAAGATGTCGTTAAAAATAATTTGCACTATGTAAGGTTGAAAGGTTATGTTACAGTTAATAACATTGGAAAATAACAGTTATCGCCGGTTAAATAAAATGATAAGAAATTCTTTACTAAAGTGTCTACACATTAAAAACTGAACTTATTTTCAGTAGTGTTTTCACATGAACTATACGGAATCAGATAATCAAAAGTAAAAATGTAAAGCAGTTTTTTAGCTTCGATTGAATCGTGTGGTTCAGATTAAAGAAAAATATATATCGTTTCGAATAAAGTCACGCATAGTAATTGAAAACAAAGTTGTGACTGAACTTTGAAAATTACCCCATTACTAGTTTAAAAACAGAAAGTAGACACGATTAGATATTGACTTCTAACTTCTGATAAGTCAGATACGAAACATTTTATTTGGTCAATCTAAGGCACTTATTAGGTCTGCACAAGTTTTAAAATATATCACTGAACATGTGATGTACTTATTTACAGACCACAGTTATCCCCCGTGGAGCATAGACCGCCAACCAAGATTCCCCAACAAACTCTATCCTCGGCTCTCTGTTCCAGTTCTATCCAATCGCTAGTCATTCTTTCCATGTCTGCCTCTAATTCCTCTATCTCTTTTACTTTGAGGATTCCACGTGCGGGCTTCTCTTGATGCAAAGTTTAAGGTTTTCCAAAAGCTTTCTCCAGTACACTTCCAGAGTTGTTTCTTAACTTCTTCCTCAGCTGGAAACAGGTCTGTCTTCTACCACAGTAGTTGTTGCTGATGGCATCTAGCCATCGGATCTGAAGTATCTTGCGCAGATAGTTCATTATAAATACCTGTATCTTCTGAATGATGTTTTCCGTAGTTCTTTAAGTTTCCACTTCATACAATAAAAGGGTTTCAA